CCACTGAGGCTGGGCCTCTCAGGATCACAGATGAAGGGAACTATGTGGCCTTCCCTATGTCCCAGGCAACTGTTCCTAAAGTCTCCTTCCAGCTGTTGGTGGGAGGGGCTTAGTGTGCGGTGAGGGAGGCACAGCCAACATGGAGGGGGAGGGGATCTGGAAGACACTGACTTGGGTCTCCTGGGAAAAGAGAGTGTTGATGGGGTCATGGAGAAATGCCCCTACACTGAGAACAAGTTGTAAATACGTTGGGGCCTGAAATTCAGAAGTGACGAGGCATTGATGTTTGTGGTGAGTTGTTGGCTTAATGAAGGAGATGGCTAGGCTTGGTTCCCCTTCCCCACCCATTGTCCCCTTTCCTGAGAGTTCACTGGAAAATGGAACCCTGGCTTACACCAGGCCCCACGAACCCCACAAAACAGCACTGAGCTAACCCTGGGGCTCAGCAGCGAATCTCCTTTCTCTCTGGGTTCTTTTTTTTTTTTTTTTAAAGATTTTATTTATTCATTCATGAGAGACACACAGAGAGAGAGAGGCAGAGACACAGGCAGAGGGAGAAGCAGGCTCCATGCAGGGAGCCCGACGTGGGACTCGATCCCGGACTCCAGGACCACACCCTGGGCTGAAGGCAGGCACTAAACTGCTGAGCTATCCAGGGATCCCCCTCTCTCTGGGTTCTAACTGGCCTCATAAAATCTAATTTATCCTATAGGTGGGTAAAATAATCTGTTAGGAAAAGATTGAGAGATAGCCTCAGGTCTCCCAAGTACAGAAACTCTGAGTCTGACAGGGTCTCACCAAGGAGCCGAGGCGAAGGAATGGTGGTAAAGGAGCCCCTGCCAGGACAAGCTGGTGGGCAGCAAGAATCCATCGTGTCCCCAGTCCTGAGAAGGACAGCTGAGAACTGCTTGTGGGAAGGACTTTGGGGGTCAGCCATGGCCATGGGCTGGGGGTGGTGGGAAAGGGGTGGCCATGAAGTCACTGGACAAACAAGGCCCAGGCCTCAGAGCATCACTTTACGAAAAAGTCTGGTGTGTAGGAACCACGTTTATGTTAAAAGAAACATTGCTGTGTAATGAAGCAGAATGCAAAATGTGCCAAAGGTTTAAAAATCAAAACATTTGGGGCAGTTAGCAAGCCTCCTGGGTATACTCTCCTCTGCTACTGGGAGAATTTTGGTGACAATGAGAAGAGTGGAGACTTCTCCTTTTCAGGCTGGAAGGAAAGAAGGCTGAGGCTGAAAGGAAGAAAAGTAGCTGGCCCAAGGGCATAGAGTGAATGACCCAGGACCCTGACTCCAGACCAAGTCTGGGCCCCCCACCATACCTCGTTATCCGTCTAGGCAAGAGGAAGGAAGGATGGCTAAGGGACCTCCAAGTAGCTTTGTGATCCGAAACAAAAAACTTCCCTCCGGGGGCACCTGGGTGGCTCAGTGGTTGAGCAGCTGCCTTTAGCTCAGGTCATGATTCCAGGGTCCTGGGATGGAGTCCCACATCGGGCTCCCCGCAGGGAGCCTGGTTCTCCCTCTGTCTGTGTCTCTGCTTCTCTCTCTGTGTGTCTCTTATAAATAAATAAATAAATAAATAAATAAATAAATAAATAAATAAATAAATAAAATCTTAAAAAAAAAAAAAAAACAACTTCCCTCCAGGGAGGCAGGGCCATCTCACAGAGGCCTGGAGCTTGAGCTGAGCCCCTGTGGGTGTGTGTCCTGGGCACAGAGTTGAGTTGGGCACCAAGCAGCGAGAACCCTCTTACTCCAGAGCAACTGTCTCTTCAGTGCTGGGTTCATCCCTAAAAGGTCAAAGGACTGTCTCCCAGAGAGACGGAACCCCCCCCCCCACCGCCCGCCCGCCTTTCTATGTCTCAGTTTCCCCACTTCTATACAATGAGGAATCTCAAGCTTCAAGCTTCGCTGACGTTTCCAGCATCATGGGCACAGCCCGGCCCTCTCCAGGGGGACTCCTGTTTGCACATCTAGATCCCTGTTGGCTGCCCTGTTCTACCTTGTTGGGTGCTGAGCTCCTCTGAGGTGGGGAAGCCAGACATCTGCTGATCCATGAATATTCAGGAAGGGAATCGGAGCCTCCTTCGGGCTCCCCAGCCAGCCTCCTGGCCTCTCTGGCTGCTGTCCTGCCCGCCAGAGCCCAGGCTGCTGACATACCCAGCAGCTGCTCAGGCCCCAACTGTTCACATTGTTTGTTCAGCGCGGCAGGGGATTTTCCAGGCCCTGGACTGCTTTGGGGGGGCGGGGAGGCTGCCGGAGGGCTCAGGGATTCGTGTCATGTGGGGCTTTTCTCCCCTGAAGCGCAAACTGACTGCTCAGCGGCTGGAACCGGGCAATTGGAAGCCGCTGGGCTGAGAGCCCGGGCTGGCCTCCCCCCACCACCACCCTAAGTTTGAATCACAGAATCAAGGGCCTCAGAGGTGGAAGGGACTGCTTGTTAAGAACAGTAATTAACATTTGTACAGTTAAAAAAAATTCATTAAAAAAAAAAAGCCGAAACATTTGTACAGTTCAAGAAGTACCATTAAACAATGAGCTGTGGTCCCTTGATGGCTGCTGTGCTGACATGTGTCATCTTGCCTACTCCTCGCAGGCTTGGTAGTATCATCCTCATTTTACAGATGTGGAAACTAAGGCCCAGAGAGGTTAAGTGGCCTGTCACACAGCTGGTAGGTGGAGCAGCAAGACCGGAAACTCGATCTTCTGTTCTGCCCCAAGGTTAAATGCTCTTCCTGCCACAGCCAAGAGCCTGAGGTGATGTGAATGCCAGTTGGGTTTCCCCAGGCAGAATGGACACTGGGTGAGGACAAGGCCTGCCTTCTCCCTGCACGCATCCATCCGTAATGCTGCTGAGCCGAGCTGAACAGCGGGGAGGCGCCAGCGGGGCCTTCCTGGTGAATTAAGAAATGTGGGGTCCAGCTCGGCCTGCCTGTTGGCCTGTCCACCCTTCACCCTGCAGTATCAGAGCCCTCCTTATCTCTGCCAGCTGGGACTTCTCTTTGCAGTTCAGTCTTATTTTTCTTTAGAAGTGCTGGCAAGAAAGCCTGGGGACAGACAGGGGTCCTAAGTGTGGGACCTCATCAAGTCCGGGTTTTGATGAGTGTGGCAGAAACTGGGGTGCATGCGTTGAGGTGTGGAAGGTCGTGTCTACAGTGTGTGTGTGTCTAGATGATGTTCTGTATGTTTGCTTAGGCGTAGGTATGTCCAGGTATGATTATTCACTGAATCATCCTAACATCATAGAATCCCAGACATCACCTGCTACGTTTGAGTGAATTAACGTCCAGAAGGAGAAGTGACTGGCCCAAGGCCACATAGCTAGACTGTGACAGAGCCAGGTCCGGAACTGAGGGCTGCCTGATTCCCAAGCCATTTGGCTTTCTGCATGCCCTCCCGTGGCTGCCTGCCCAGACCTGCCTCGTAGTAGGTACGTGCCATTATACTCACCTTTGTCCGTGGTTCACTGTCAGATGCGCCATTCTACCTTTAAGCAAAATCTCAGGCCTGAGAATGAGAAGGGACCTTGGGCTCTTGAGCTTGTATGGGACAAAGAGGCATCAAGTCAACCTTCTGGAAGACACAACTGGGAGAGCCAACCACTTCCCTATGAGTAACGGTTACTGGGCCTTGTTGAAATGTTGGTTGAAGTGATAAGCATTGGCCTTTGTGAGTCTTTTGCCTTAACCCTGGGATGACATCCCCTTCCTCCTTTTTCCCCTACTCATCCCTTTTATGGCATGGGGCTGTGTTGGAGCTGTGGGCTCCTCTGGGGCCCCTGGAGACAGGCTCTGGCGTGCTGAGTGACCTCAGGAAAATGAGCTGTAGAAAGGAAGGCTAAGCCCCTCCTGTCACCAAGCAGAAGTAGGTGGGGTGCTAGTGGTCAAGATGGTATGTAAGGTTCCAGGGAGGGATGAGGGATGACATTACCGAGTGCCAATTCTGTGCTGGACCAGACACCGTGGGGTACTCCTTTCCTACCCCTGGCTTACAACAGCACTATGAGGAAGGAATTCCTGTGTCCTTTCTAACTGAGATATAATTCACACACCACAGAATTCACCATCTATAGTGTACACATCAGTGGTTTTTAGTATGCTCACATAGTTGCACAACCATTACCACTGTCTAATTCCAGAACATTCCTATCACCCCCAAAGGAAACCTCATATCCTTTCGCCATAGCTCCTCATTCTTGCCTCTCCCCAGCCCCTGGCAGCCATTAATCTACTTTCCGTCTCTGGATTTGCCTATTCTGTACATTTCACAGACATGAGATCATATCATTTTGTGATTGGCTTCTTTCACTTGGCATAAAGTTTTTCAAGTTCCTCCATGGAGCAAGTATCGGTATTGGTACTTCATTTCTTTTGATGGCTGAGTGTGATATTTATCCATTCATCAAGCGATGGGCATTTGGGTTGTTTCTCCTTTTTTGCCTATTATGAAGACTGTTGCTATGAATGGTGTTTTTTGGTGGATGAGGAAGCCGAGCAGCCAGGGAAGGTGAGCATGGAGAAGAGCAGCAGATTGCCCAAGATCCCACGTGGTAGGGGCAGAGCCAGGATCCAGACAGCAGTCTCTCCATGAGACCTGTCTTTCCGTGAGTCGCCCTAGCCCCTCGGTGGGTGACTCAGGACCTGGAGGCTGTGGGAGGTGGTGGGAAGATACCCGCTGATGGCCCTGGTGTCCGACCTCTCTCTGCAGGGGAGCTGCCGTGGCCCCAGGAGACCACTGTGGAGCTGAGCTGTGGTGCAGGGCCACTTAAAGTGATCCTGGGTCCAGGGCAAGCTGCAGTGCTGGACTGTAGTCTGGGGTCTGCTGGACCCCCCACCAGCATCACGTGGAGCAAGGACGGAGGCGCCCTGCCGGAGCTCGACCACCTGCGCTTGCTACCCAATGGCTCCCTTTGGCTGTCCCAGCCACTAGCACCGGACGACAGTGATGAGGGAGCCCCTGGGGCCGTCGCAGTCATTGAGGGCAGCTATTCCTGCCTGGCCCATGGCCCCCTTGGAGTAGTGGCCAGCCAGGCTGCGGTGGTCAAGCTTGCCAGTAAGTGCCTGCATCGGGGGCTGAGCTGAGACCCAGGAAGCCTGGGGTATGGGAAGTGGGATCCCCATTACCTCCTTGCACAAAGCCTGTCTCTTGAGCCCACTCCCCTTTCCCTGCCTCTTGTCCCACTCAATAGGTCCCTTCCTGGTCTGGCTACCTTCTTCCCACCTCTCCTTTTCTTCCTCCTCCTTTTGTTCCCCTTTGAGTTTGAAGAGTCTAAGTTGTGTTCTTCCCCAGGAAGCCTGCCAGAAAGGCTGGTAAGAGACTGGGGCACTGGAGCAGGTGGACTGCCTGGAGTCAAGCCCCATCACCCCGCTCACCCCCTTGGGGTTCTCAGGAGGCACAGATTCTCATGAAATAACTTTAGGCCAGAAGAAATGTGCTTCTTACTGCAGGCTGACCATCATGGTGATGTTGGCGGGGGGGGGGGGGGGCATTGCAATTCATTCTGACACAGTGTCTGACCAGTAATCACCACTTCTCATCCCCCTGCTGCCTCTTCAACTGTCTGTGGGCTGGGACTTGCCCTGCCTGTGCTTCTGTCTCCCTGCGCTTCTGTGTGTCTGTGCACGTGTGCATGTGTGCATGTGTGCATGTGTGTATGTGTGTTTCACTGTCTGTGCCCCCTCTCTTTCCTGTGCTCCTCTGCTGTCCCTGCCCACGTCTCACCGACCTCACCCTCAGCACTCGCAGGCTTCTCTCTACACCCGGAGTCTCAGGTGGTGGAAGAGAATGGGACTGCTCGGTTCGAGTGCCACATTGAAGGGCTGCCAGCGCCCGTCATTACTTGGGAGAAGGACCAGGTACCAGTGGCTGAGGAGCCTCGGTGAGTGTCCTATAGGGGAGTGGGGAGTGGGTCCCAGTGGGCGGGCCAGAGAGGGCCCTGGGATGAGCTCTGGAAGCAGGATACTGAGGGTCATGGTGGCTCCATTTGTCTAGACTGACGTAGGAACAACCATGACTGGACTCTCAGCTCACTTAGACCCCAAAGAGAAGCTGGGCAAGCACTTTTTGTACCCTGCAAAGAATGCCTCCCACTAAGCTATGGAGCTTGGATAGAGAGCAGTGATAGAGTCCTTCAGAGCTTATCTAGTCCAATCACTTGCCTTATTGAGGAGACTAAGGGCCAGAGAGAAGCTACCTTTCTTCCAAGGCCACACAGTGAGTCAGTGGCAGGAAGTTTGTTCGTTAAGAGCACAAACACTGCTGGGAGGCTTTTCTCTCTGCCGGGATCCTCTGGAGGTGCTACCCAGGATGCATAACCTTTTTCCTCTCTCAATTCCAACCCGTGGGGTACAGGATCTGATAAATAGGGTGGGGGGTTGGTTGTGGAGACCCTTCCCATTTTACCCTGCTCCCTCTTCATCAAGGTAGTGGGTAGGTAGAGTGATCCCAGGGAAGAGTTTCTTGGGTGACAGAGAAGGAGAATCTAGACCCAGGACTTCTGTGGCCTCCTGGGAAGGCCCAGATGTACCTGCAGTACGAGCAGGAAGCACGAGGCTCATTTGCTTCTGTGGACTTCAAGCTGGCATCACAACAGGATTGTCGCCCTATGGATTCTTACATCTTTGGAAATGTAGCTCCAAGGCCTTTCCCAGCATCCCCCCACCTCCCCAGCTCTCTAGCTGTAGTTACCAGCTCGCTCTCTCCTTCTCTCCTGGTGGATGTAGGGCTCCTTGGGCTCAGAAACACTGGTTTCCAGGTCTCCCTGCCTTGAGACTCATCTGTCTTGAGTGTGTTGAGTTGTCCCAGCTCCTTTGACTTTTGCTCATATCTATGTAGGGGTGGAAGTGAAAGAAATTTCTGGGTGGAAAAGTGACAGGGCACATCCCTGCAACAGTTGTAACAGAGGAAGAAGGGTAGGAGGTCAAGCTGCTGATGTGGATGATTGCTTAGCCTGTTGCTCTTCACAGAGTCCCTTCTCACTCAGCTTCATCCTCCCCATGTATAAAATTAAAGGAAAAGAAAAAAAATGAAAGGGTTGGATTAGGTCACTGTTCTTTGTAGAACATTAGTCACTAAAGGTGCTTCTTGAGGAAAAGTATTCTGTGGTCAAATAACGTTGGGCAAACTGCCTCTAAATCCCCCCCTTGGAGTTGACAAGGCTCTGAGAAGCCCTGTGTGGAAAGCCTGTTAAGCTCGTTGAACCCAGCACTTCCTAGACTCATCTGCCCACAGCCTGTCTTGCTGTGTTAACCCGGTTAACATCCCATGAGTGAGCATTCTAGGGAGCGATGCTGGAAGTGCTGACCAGCCTTTGTAGCGCTGGCTGACGCTTTAACTTCTGTGCCTTCCAAATGTCGGCCCCTTGGTGGGTGCTTCTTGGGGGTTGCTAAGTGAGAACCAAGGGAGAGCCTACTCTTGGCAGCCCCTGGAGAGAGTAGGAGAGAGCAGAGAAATTGCTGCATGTCAAAAGGCATGATAGGCCCCATTTAATGAGAGCTGTTTTCTCCCTTAATCCTTCCCATCATCTTTCAAGGTAGGTATTTCATGTTTTCCATATTTTCCTCTATTTACTTTTAGGTTATATTCCTGGAAGATGGACTTTTCACATTTACATATGCAAAACAGAAGAAACACTTATTGTGCATAGAAAACCTCTATTAGTTTTGATGGCTATCCTCTGGAATTTTTATAAATATCCTCTTTTATTTTTTTTTAAAGATTTTATTTATTTATTCATAGGAGACAGAGGGGGTGGGGCATAGACACAGGCAGAGGGAGAAGCAGGCTCCCCTTGTGGAGCCCAATGTGGAACTCCATCCCAGGATCCTGGGATCATGACTGGAGCCGAAGGCAGATGCTCAACCACTGAGCCACCCAGGCACCCCAATATCCTCTTTTAAAATTTGTGTCTTACTGCACATACTGGGTTTTTTTGTTTGTTTGCTTATTTTAAGTAAACTCCCAATGTGGGGCTCAGACTCACGACCCCTAGATCAAGAATCACACATTCTATCTACTGAGCCAGCCGAGGTGCCCCCATGCTGGATTTTTTTGCTCATTCACCTTTTTTCCCAAAACAAAAATGGAATTATAGAGCAACTTCTACTTTTTCTTCACTTAACACACCATGAGCATCCTTCCTGTGGTCTACGCATATGGTTATGGCAGATACTATTATCTGGATTGTTTAATGGGAGAACTGAGGACCAGAGACAGAAGAAACTCAGCCCAGGTCACAGAACTAGGACACAGAGTGTGGGATGCCAGAAACCCGGCACGAATGACACACAGGCCCCTTGTGATTTGGTGGTTGGGGTGGGGAAGCTGCAAGGTCTGAAGAAGTTCATGCTGCAGATGGGCTTAGAAGTCAGGTGGTCCAACTGTGGCTCCGAGGAGAGAAGTGACTTCCCCCAGAGTTTCTCAGCAAACAGTAGGCCTCCCTCGCCTCTCAACATCTAGTTCAGGCATCATTCTACGAAGCCACAGGCCTCTCCCAGAAGTCTGGAGCTGCCAGTTCCTGGGCTCTCAGAATGTTTGCCCCCAAGTCCTCTGAAAAGTGATCCTTAGCTATAAATAAGCCAGGCTAGCACATTGTGTGGGGGAAATAAAGAAATGTCTAAAACAGCAACTTGATTATGCCCAAGGTATGTATTTTTACACATGCCCAGATATAGTACATGTACAAATATGCTATTCATAAGCTCAGCCCAGCGGTTTGGAGGAGACCATATGCCTTGGCATTGGGTGCACACATGTGCAGTTAATAAACACACTCTGCCAAGGTATATATGCATATTTTTTGGAGCTGATGGTGAAGATTAGACCCCAAGGCAATTCACTGGTACTTATACTAATTTCTAATGATAGGGGATAATTTTCTTTCCATGGGAACCAGTAATCAATGAGAGCAATGTTTCCCAAATCCCAGGAATTCACAAACCCCCTTTATAACTTTGGCCATTCTGAAGCCATTTATTCAATCACTTACTTAATACATTTCTTTAAATCGGCTCTCTTTTGTAACTTTAACACATACTAAAAAGGAACATTATCTCACTGCAGTAAAATGGAAAACCAGCAAGACTTACCATAAATATAAGGTAGTCATAAAAATAAATACGCAACCACTGGGATAAAAAAATGTGTGTCTGGATCCACAAAGTTGTTTTGTTATCACTAGTCACTCACACTTAAAAACAGAGCATCAATGGACCTCAGTACCTTAGGCTTCCCGGTCCAGCCTTCCACCCTACCCATCTCCCAGTACCCAAGGTGTCTGTCAACCCCCTGTGACCCTCAGCCAGGGTCCCTTTTCCCTAGGTGGATCTCTGAAGGGCTTGAGGTGGGGGCTCCTTGATCTTTCTGAAAGCAGCTGTGTAGTTTCTAAAGTGTACTTCTTATTTTTTTTTAAATAATCTCTATGCCCAACCTGGAGCTGAACCTCATGACCCCAAGATCAAGTGGCTTATGCTCTACTCACTAAGCCAACCAGGTGCCCCTTTGCTGTGTTCTTTTTTTTTTTTTTTTTTTTTTTTTACTTATTTATTTGACAGAGCACGAGGGAGCACAAGCAGGGGGAGCAGGGAGAGGGAGAAGCCGACTCCCCACTGAGCAGAGAGCCCAATATGGGGCTCAATCCCAGGACCCTGGGATCAGGACGTGAGCCAGAGGCAGACAGATGCTCAATCAATGGAGCCACCCGGGCGCCCCCCTCTGCTGTGTTCTTGAATCCCTTTTGGGAGGCGGGGCAGCAGGCTCAAGCTCAGGCTTGGAAAGGGAATGATCCCTTCCTTTTGGAGAGAGGTCGCTTTTCATTTTAGAAGTAGTTATTTTGTTTTATTTGAGGTTTGAATTAATTTTACAATAATAAAGCATACCAATTCAATGGGAAAAAAATCACCTACCAACTGGACACAAACAGTTGTGACTGTATTGTGATTTTTCCCTTCCCAATCTTTTAAAATATGTGTACTGTTTATATCATTGTAAATGTGTGTTTAGAATCTGCAGTTCTTAGATAGTGTTTGTGTCCATTATCTAATGTGAGTTCCTAACACATTAGGGTCGGGATTTTGAATTAGGCAGGACAGAACTATTTTTTTTATTTTTTTTTAATTTTTATTTTTATTTTAATTTATGATAGTCACAGAGACAGAGAGGCAGAGACACAGGCAGAGGGAGAAGCAGGCTCCATGCATCGGGAGCCCGACGTGGGATTCGATCCCGGGTCTCCAGGATCCGGCCCTGGGCCAAAGGCAGGCGCCAAACCACTGCACCACCCAGGGATCCCTATTTTTTTTTTTTTAATTTATTTACGATAGTCACAGAGAGACAGAGAGAGAGGCAGAGACACAGGCAGAGGGAGAAGCAGGCTCCATGCACCGGGAGCCTGACGTGGGATTCGATCCTGGGTCTCCAGGATCGCGCCCTGGGCCAAAGGCAGGCGCTAAACCGCTGCGCCACCCAGGGATCCCAGGACAGAACTATTTAACCCATTTTTCAGATGAGAAACCCAAGGCCCAGACATGTGATGTCGCTTGGTAAAATCACATCTGCTGAAACCAGTTCTCTCCTCTATGTCACAGCTTCTTTTGTGTGAGAGCTGGGAGTTCCACAAAGTGTTCAAGGGCATATGCCTTTTTCAGTTTCAATTTTTAAAAGTTTTAGATTTCCAACCTAATAAATATTCAAGAAAAAAATTTAAACACAACAAATAAGCATTCCCAGTGATCGCACTGCCAGAGAAAACCTCCCTGAATGATGTGAGCTTTACTGCCCTTGACTTTTTCTGTGCATATCCTAACATATCATTTATCTAGTTTCCAAACATAGAACTGCTTCATAAACACTGTTTTGTGACCCCCCCTCCCGCCCCCACTAACCAATATATCTTGGACATCTTTCCAAGGACAGAGCTTCTAAAAACAAATTTGAACAAAACAAAAGATTTTAGATGAACAGTGAAAGTGGTTTCATCCCACTTCTGTTGGCTCAGTGATGACACCACATCAGGAAAGAGCTATCCTTTCCTCCCTCCCTTCCTTCCTTCCTTCCTTCCTTCCTTCCTTCCTTCCTTCCTTCCCTCCCATTTGTCCTTTCCCATCAAAGTTTCCTGGCCCAGGATTTTACCTCTAGCCACCCTTTCCTCCATGTGCCTTCTCCCCTGCTGGCCCCAGCACTGAGGCAAGCAGCTGCTGGAGCTGAGGGTGAGACATCAGATGGGTTTGCCTGTGGGATGAGGGAGGGAGTGAAGTAGGTTTATGCTCATTCTCTAAGTCTTTGGGCCATAGCAGTTACCAGGTCTGTGGCCAGAATTTTCTCCCAATACCCTTGAGCTAGTTCTTCTATCCTGTGTTTGGGTTGTTTCATACCCGTTTCTCCATGAGCCATGGGACCTTCATCAGGCACACTGCTGCCCCATTCTCTCTCTGACCTTGGCCTAGCCTACATCCAGCGACCAGCAGCGTTTGCTCTATTGAGAAACTGGGACTCTCAAACATGAGCTAATCTTTCAAGGATCATAGATGGAGGATTCAGGAAGACCCATCACCCACCCCCTCCACTTGAACCAGAGCCCACTCCACTTACCACCACCCCAGTGTCCTCTGCAAGGATACAGCCTTGCCTCCATTGCACTATCTCCCAAGCAAGGGCTCCAGACCTTTCTAACCTGAGCCGCTTTCCAACCCTTTAACCAATAGGGCAGAGAATACCACCTTCATCCATCCTTACCCCTCCTAGGTAGTGTGTGTATTGACTGGGGCTTCCCAGGGACCCCATCCCTTCCCTAGCCATCTGATGGCTGCTGAGACAGGCAAGTGGGAAGAACATGGGATTTGGCACCAGAAGGCCTGGATTCAAGTTTCAACTCTGCTCCAGCTGTGAGTCCCTGGGAAAACACCCTAGTGCCTCTGAAGCCTTAGTTTTGTCACCAGTAAAATGGAGGTTGTAATGCCTGCTATCTCTTCAGACTGTTTTGAGGGTCAGATGACATTGTGTGAATAAAAGGGATTTTTATCAGGGAGGGAGAAGGTAATAATAGGCAGGGGGTAAACAAGTTCATGTTGTATAGAAGGCTATATGATAAAAAGTAAGTCTCCCACCATCAGCCCCAGGATCCCAGGTCCCCTCCCCAGAGACAACCACCATTACCAGGGACCTTCAGTGCAAGCGTACAAGTGCACATATCCCCACACACTGTTCTGTACCAAACATACTTTGGAAATCGTCCTGTTTCAGGACACATGGAGCTGCCTCCTTTTTAACAGCTGTCTAGCATTCCATTGTATGAATGTACCCGAACCGATTTAGTTAGCTCCCACCCCGCAGATGGACACTTGGATTATTCCCAGTCTTCCACCATTGTGTAACCGTGCTCGAGTGAATATCATTAAACATGTTTTTGTATACATGCCTGAGAATATCCGTGGGAGAGAGTCCTCAAAGCAGTGTTGCTGGGTTGAAAGGCACGTGCAGGGTTGATTCTGTTACCGGCTTGCCCTTGCAGGCAGGTGTATCGATTGGCATGACCACCAGGACAGGGCGACCTTCCCCATTCCCTCATCCACATAGGGTGTCCTTAAACCTTTTGATCTTTACCAACCTGATAGGTGAAAATGGTATCTCACAGCTTTAGTTTGTGTTTTTTAGTATGAATGATGCTTGAAAGTGCAATGCCTTGGGTAGTTCAAGCTGGAGGGGGAGGTGGGCCCAGGACCGCTCCCTGCGGAGCTCCTGCCCATCTCATAGGTGCCCTTTCCCCCTTCCCAAGGCTCATCACTCTTCCCAACGGGGTCCTCCAGATCCTGGACATTCAGGAAAGTGATGCAGGCTCCTACCGCTGCGTGGCCACCAGCTCAGTCCGCCAGCGCTTCAGCCACGAGGCCATGCTCAGCGTGGCCCAAAGAGGTACGCGGGCAGGGGGAATGGGGTCTTCTGACATCAGCCACATCAGAGCTGAGAGGTACCTCCTGAGGCCCAGGCTCTGCCTTTAAACAGGTGACAGTGTAGGAGTGCCATTAGACAGGTGCGGTGAGGAAGCCCAGAGAGGGCAGTACCACCTAGCAAGTCAGAGATAGAGCTGGAGCTGGAACCCGAGACTTCAGACTCCCAGGCCTGGGCTCTCTTCCAACAAGATGCTCTGTGCTCCCTAAGGTTGAGTGGGGCATCCCCAGATAGGGACGAACGGGAGGGAGGGGGGAGGGAAGGCATCCGAAGACAGGTATCAGTGCCCTGAAGCCCTGGTCCCCGCCCTCTGGGCATGAGCAGATTCACCCCTTGCTGCTGGCTGGGCACTGCAAATCCAGTTCCCTGCAGTCTGGTGCTCCTGTTCTTTCCATTTCTCTGAAAAGCTCCTGTCTTGGTGTGATGCAGTAGGAAGGGCACAGGCTCTGGGGTCAGAAAGATCTGGTTTGAATCCTGGCCTCTCTGCTTACCATCTGTGTGACCCTGGGCTGTTATCAAATGTCTAGCTCAGGGAGGCTGTGGGAAGAGCTGAGATAAGAGTAGAAAGTGCCTGGCACCTAGCAGGTGCTCAATAGATCTCAGCGCAGGCCTCCCCCAGCGGCGCCTCACTTGCCTTCCTCTGCCATGACATACCCCCCCAACCCTGCCCTTCTGCACATCTCTTCCCATCCCCCTCCTCACCCCTCCCACCTCCACTCCATCCTACTTTCCTGTGGTTTAGCTGGTAACCAGGTCTCTGAGTCCGGTTCACTGTCCCTCCTGTGCTGGGGCCCTTATGAGGGAAAGGGGGTCTCTGCCTCCACCTGCTGGACAAACCAGGTATTCACCATGCTAACCCTGGGGCCTGGGTCACAGGGAGAACTTGGCAGGGAATCCCTGCTCCTGGAGCTGTGAAGCGGAGGAAACTCGAGCCTACCTCCTCCTTTTCCCACAGGGGAGCCCAAAGCCCTTTGGAGAAGGGACTTGCCTAAGGTCGCACAGTACATTAATGGCAGTGCTGGAGCCAGAACCTATGACTGTAGACTCAAAATCCAGGCTCTAAGTCTACCCAGGACCCTGATGGTCCTCTGCCTGAAGGGTGGTGGGTTCCATTTGGTAGGGGAGATTGGGGGTGGTATGCCAGAGGCCAAGAGAAAGAGCTCTGAGTTCCAGTCCCAGCTCTGCCAAACTCTGCAGCTGCTTTTCCCATCTGTCCAATGAAACCCTGGCTGTTCCCCACCCCATGTGCCTCACCAGGTGACTGTGAGCATCAAGTGAAGGACACCTAATGGTAAGGCTGCTTGCTTGCCTGCCATCTCTCTCCAGGGTCCCTGGCATCCACCAGGGGGCAGGACGTGGTCATTGTGGCAGCCCCTGAGAACACCACTGTGGTTTCGGGCCAGAGTGTAGTGATGGAATGTGTGGCCTCAGCTGACCCCATCCCTTTTGTGTCCTGGGTCCGACAGGGTAAGTGGAGGGAGGTGACCTGAGGGCTTGGGAAAGGACGTGGTATCTTATGTATCCTCGGGTTGGGAAGCTATAAGGGTGATCACTCCATGTCACAGGAACTCCTCTCCCAGGATTGAGGAACGCCCAGACAGACTTAGTCCTCAATCAGTGTGGAGTATGTTTCCTTTATGAAGCACTTTGAGTCCACTTATTAAGAGTGGTCTCAATGGTGTTCCAAGTGAATGTGGGAGACCTAGAGTCGGGTGAGACCAGACCCCACTGCTGGTCCACTCGGATTGCTGCTGCCTTGTATGCTTGGCTTCATGCTGGGCGCAGTGAATAAAAAAAAAAAAAAAGTCAGGTGAGAGAGACAAGAATCCTGCCCTCTCCACTCATCGTCTGGGTGAGGGAGATAAGATGCATACTTAGGAAGAGAGATTTGACAGTATCAGGCAGCAAGTGATAAGTGCTGGGGGGAACTGCGTTACACGAGATGCCATCAGGGTAGTGAGGATGCTGGTCACACAGCACCCTGCCGCCTATGGAGCGCTCCACCCAGCCTCCTGCCAGAGCCTGGAGGAGCCCTTTGAAGGGGGTAGGAGTGAGGACTCTTATTCCCAGTGGACAGATGGGGAAACTGAGGCTCAGAGAGCTTAATGCCCAAACTTTAGAGCCTGTTCTGTTTCTGGTACACCCCTTCCTACAGTCCTGAATGGAAGAAAAGCAAGGATTTTTAAAATATTTTATTTATTTATTTGAGAGAGTGTGCTGGGGGGGAGGGCCATGCAAGAGGGGGAGCAGAGCAGAGTGGGAGGGGAGGGACAGGCAGGCAGACTCTGTACTGAGCAGGGAGCCCAACCCCTCTGAGATCATGATCTGAGCTGAAACCAAGTGTCAGACACTCAACGCACTGAGCACCCAGGCGCCCCAGCAAAGATTATCTTTGTTTCCTTTGTCAATGAGAAGTGACTTTTCCCAAGTTGATGGAAAAAGTAAGTCTTAAACCACACTTTCTTTACCTTTCTTCTTTGCCTCAGTCTATTAGCCTACACTGTCTCCTTTTTGTAAGTTTTATCTCACGTTCAAAAGGGTATGTAATGATTATGTAGAGTTTAAAGAAAAAAAATAAACTGAACAACTTCCCACTGAACTGATGAGATTGGACAGTGCTGTTATCTTTGGACTTCCCCGACCTACACACCTCATTGAACTTGTGACACTTGCCTAGTTAGGGGGAGTCTGGCACCAGCAAGGCCCTATTATTAGGGTAGGTGTTGTCGCCCAGAAGTTCTGAGTGTTTCTCAAATGCTGACCTTGCATCAGGATGTTGCAGGGAGCTTGTTAAAACTGCAGACTCCCTCCCTTCGTGCCTGGACAGTTTGTGAGCCAAGAACCTTAATATTTAAAACTGCCCTAGGTCCTGCTACTGAAATTGTGGTCTTTGCACCCACCCGCTGCAGCTAGTTAGAAATGCAGAATCTGGGGCTTGCCCTAGGCCTCTGCATCTTAACAAGGTCCCCTGAGAGACTCTGTGATTCGAGTGCACACGGAGGATTTGAGAATTGCTGCCCCAGAGAATCCTGACACTGGTGGTCCTGGGAGCTCCCTCGAAGAAAGTCTGCTAATAGTACTCCTGGACAGGGACTGGGAAGAGAAAGCCTGGAAAAGGATGTCCTTCCTGATGCCAGTCACTGTTCCTTTTCTAGAAACTTACTCCACCAAGTCAGGGAAGAGGCATGGCTTTTTGTTTTGTTTTCTTCTGGTTACGAAGGTCATGTGTGTTTGTTGTAGAAAACCAGGGAAAAGCAGAAATTCCACCACCCAAAGAGATTAAAATAGTTAACATACAAGTGTATTTTCTTCCAGATTTTTTCTTTTTCTTTTTTTGCCTTTTTAAAATATTTTATTTATTTATCTGAGACAGAGTGAGTGAGCAAGAGAGAGGGAGAGAAAGAGAAAGAGCAAGCACACGCATGAACAGGGAGGAGCAGAGGAAGAGAGAGAAGCAAACTCCCCAATGACCAGGGAGCCTGATGTAGGGCTGGATCCCTGTACCCTGGGATCATGACCCAAGCAGGAGGCAGACACTTAACTGACTGAACCACCCAGGCACCCCTTTCCAGATTTTTTCTATGCACATGTACATTTTTCCCAGAAATTGGGAGCATGCTATATTTACAAGTCCAAGTCTTACTTTAATTCAACAGTATATCATAACCATCTCTAAAACTGTCTCTTTTTTTAAAAAAATGTTTTATGGGGCAGCCCCGGTGGCGCAGCGGTTTGGCGCCGCCTGCAGCCTGGGGCGTGGTCCTGGAGGCCCCGGGATCCAGTCCCACATCAGGCTCCCTGCATGGAGCCTGCTTCTCCCTCTGCCTCTTTCTCTCTCTGTGTGTCTCACATTAATAAATAAATAAAATCTAAAAAAAAATATTTTAAAAAAATGTTTTGTTTATTTATTCATCAGAGACACACAGAGAGAGGCGGAGGCAGAGGGAGAAGCAGGCTCCTTGTGAGGAGCATGATGTGAGACTCAATTCCAGGACCCTGGGATCACGACCAGAGCCAAAGGCAGATGCTCAACCACTGAGCCACCCAGGTGTCCCTCTAAAACTTTTTCTTTTTTTTTAATTTTTATTTATTTATGATAGGCACACAGTGAGAGAGAGAGAGGCAGAGACACAGGCAGAGGGAGAAGCAGGCTCCATGCACCAGGAGCCCGACGTGGGACTCCATCCCGGGTCTCCAGGATCGCGCCCTGGGCCAAAGGCAGGCGCCAAACCGCTGCGCCACCCAGGGATCCCTAAAACTTTTTCAAAAAGCAGTTTTAATGACCATATTCCATCATTTGAATATAACTATAATGCAATTTGCCAGTTCCTACCGTTGAATTTTGAAGTCCTTTCCCAATGCCCACTCTCAACACCATAGTGATCAGCCCTGTTCATACCTCTCCGGGACAGGTGCCCACAAATGGGATCCCTGGGTCATAGTCAAGGTGGAGCCCCTCTCAGCATTTACCCTTTCTCTGGCAGCTTATGCTTTTATTTTTATTTTTATTTTTTTAAAAAGATTTTTTTTATTTGACAGAGAGAGAGCGCACATGTAGGGGGAGTGGTAGGCAGAGGGAGAGAGAGAAGTAGGCTCCACAAGGAGCAGAGTGGTAGGCAGAGGGAGAGCTGGATGCGGGGCTCCATCCTGGGACCTCAGGATCATGACCCAAGCCAAAGGCAGATGCTCAACCGACTCAGTGACCCACGTGCCCCAGCTTACCGTTTTTAAAAAAAAACTTTCCCAATTTGATAGGCGAAAATTAAAATCTGTGTTTTGGTGTGCATTTCGCTGATTATATGAAACTGAACACTTTTTTGTGTGTGTTTCTTGGCCATTTGCATTTCTTCTCTGGATTTTCTGTTCATGTTCAGAAAGCAGGGGCTTTAAAAATGGTTCTCAGTTCAGATTCAAGATAAAAGTTGCATATATTCAAACCTTTGGTTCTGGGCAGACCTCTCAGCCATATCTTCATCACAGTATTGGGATAAGACCATACAGGAGGAGTGCGCCTTTTTTTTTTTTTTTTTAGATTTATTTATTCATCAGAGAGAGAGAGAGAGAGAGGCAGAGACATAGGCAGAGGGAGAAGCAGGCTCCACGCTGGGAGCCCCACTCAGGACTCCATCCCGGACTCCAGGATCGCGCCCTAGGCCAAAGGCAGGCGCCAAACTGCTAAGCCACCCGGGGATCCCCGAGGAGTGTGTCCTTCTTAAGAGAAATCCATTTAATCATAAGGGTAATAGTAATAACTGGTGTACTGAGCACCTGTTAGGTGGCCGCATTGGGCCTGGCCTTCTCACCAACCTGTGTTCCACCCGCACAGCATCCCTCCAGCAAGGGACTCCCCTCTCCCCATTTTACAGGGGGAGACACGAAGGCTCAGAGAGGGTCACTCCTCTAGCAAGTGGAGGAACCGGCATTCAATCAAGGACTGTTAGCGGGTGGGAAGCCCCCCACCCCCCCATCCGGGGCGCAGTGGAGTGGAGAGGCAGTCCTCTGGGCCCTCCTCCACCGCTCTTCCGTCTCCTCCCCCAGATGGGAAGCCCATCTCCACGGATGTCATCGTCCTGGGCCGCACCAACCTACTCATCAGCAGCGCGCAGCCCCGGCACTCAGGCGTCTACGTGTGCCGCGCTAACAAGCCCCGCACGCGCGACTTCGCCACTGCGGCCGCCGAGCTCCGCGTGCTGGGTGAGGCGCCGGGGGGGGGGGGGGGGGGGCCACCGGGCAGTGGGGGTCGGGGGAGCCGGCGTGGGGCGGGCCAGCAGGGCCGGGGAACGGAAGCTGGGGACGGGGGATGGGCAGCTGGGTGTGTTGGAAGGACTGAGGGCCCACCCTGGGGGATGCGACAGGGCCAGCGCTAGGGGGCCGGCACTCAGGGGAGGCGGCTCTGGGTGGTGGAGTGGAGGAGGGCAAGTGGGGGAATGGATGGGTGGGATTGGGTGCGGGTGGGGAGAGAGAAGAGGGGTGGTCAGGGTACGGCTTGGGGGGAGGGAGGGGACCTAGGTCACGGGACTGAGGGCTAGGGGAGACAGTGGAGTGGTCCGGGTGGCACTCGGGGACGGGGTTGTGCAAGGCTGGGCTAACAGGGCGGAAGGGTAAGTCTCTCGGGTGCGGGTCGCGGAAGGACACGGGAAGCAGGTCACGGTGCCGGCCCCGGAGCGAGTGGGGGAAGCCCAGGAGGAGCCAGGGGGCTTAGGGGCGGCTCCGGAGGCCTTGGGGACACCTGGGCGAGGAGCAGAGGTGGATTCGGCGGGGGGTACCTGGGGGCGGCCTAGCCCCCCGCGGCCCGGGCGCGCCGTCAGCGTGTCCCCCCCATCCCCCGCCCCCAGCGGCCCCGGCCATCTCGCAGGCACCCGAGCCGCTGTCGCGGACGCGGGCGAGCACCGCGCGCTTCGTGTGCCGGGCGGCGGGGGAGCCGCGGCCCGCGCTGCGCTGGCTGCACGACGGGGCGCCGCTGCGGCCCAACGGGCGCGTCAAGGTGCAGGGCGGCGGCGGCAGCCTGGTCATCACGCAGATCGGCCTGCAGGACGCCGGCTACTACCAGTGCGTGGCCGAGAACAGCGCGGGCACCGCGTGCGCCGCCGCGCCCCTGGCCGTCGTGGTGCGCGAGGGGCTGCCCAGCGCCCCCACGCGGGTCACGGCCACGCCGCTGAGCAGCTCCGCCGTGCTGGTGGCCTGGGAGCGCCCCGAGCTGCACAGCGAGCAGATCATCGGCTTCTCCCTCCACTACCAGAAGGCACGGGGTACGTCTGCTGGGGACGCGCGAGGGGGCGCCCTGAGGGCGGCACAAGTTAGATGACGGAAGGATTGCCGGGCGGGTACTTTTGGGGGTGGGATGGGACAGGGGAGGAGGGGACAGGATGGGACGGGAGGGGACTGGACGGGAGGGGACGGGAGGCGATAGGATGGGACCGGATGGGACTCCCGGGACAGGACGGGAGGGGACGGGATGGGACTGGGACGCACGGGGTGAAAGCCTACGGGAGAGACCCGCCTAGATATGCCCTAGGCCGCAGCCTTCGATGCCAAGCTGGAAGGGTTAACGTGTGCGTGGCCCGTTTCCCCCTCAGCCACGGTCTGTTTTGATAGAGGAGAAGGAGGATGCCTTTCCTCCCAGGGAAAATGCCTTGGCATTCCGGGAGCCGGTTTATTAACTGCAGTGGGAGTCATTTCAATTAGACACGAGAAGGAACTTCCTAATTGGTGGAGGAATTAATACAGTGAGACTAGAAGCCAGGGAAGTCTATACTCTCCAGCTCATGGGATCTGGTGATTTAGTTAGACACAGACTATTCTGGAGCCTGGGACAATATGAAGGATCCCTAGGTAGCCTCCAGCTGGCAGACCTTTGGGGTGGCTCTCTGACAGTCCCTTTGTCCCCTGTGTCACTGCCCCAGGCATGGACAATGTGGAATACCAGTTTGCAGTGAACAATGACACCACAGAGCTGCAGGTTCGGGACCTGGAACCCAACACCGATTATGAGTTCTACGTGGTGGCCTACTCCCAGCTAGGGGCCAGCCGCACCTCCACCCCAGCGCTGGTCCACACACTGGATGATGGTAGGGCCTCTAAACCTGCAAGAGGCACCTTGGGTTCCAAAAAATTCCCTGGGGATGGTAGCTCGCTTCTTTTTACCAGCATATGCCAAGGCACTTTTACCTGCCTCTTACCATCTTTTGTGCCACGTAAGGGGGTGGATATGGATTCTTCCCAATTTAGAGTCTGGGAAACTGAGGCCCAGAAAATGAGAGTGACTTGCCCAAGGTCAGTAGTACAGCTGGGACTTGAGTCCAGGTCTTGATTCCCTATGTCATATGGCCCTTTTCAATACCCATGTACCATCCAGTCAGTCAGGGGCCGGTGACGTGAACCCACTGGATGTAGAAGATTGTGCCCCAAACCTTTTTCTGACTTTGGGGTGGGAAAGATATCCCCTCATATCCAGTTTGGGGCTCCCCTGAGAGGCTCCCTTTCCTCCCTCAGATCCTGGTCCTGGGCCTCCTTCTGACTTGCTGTGTGACCTGGGCAAGTCTCTGACCGCTCCTGGGCCTCACCTTCCACGTCGGTGGAGCAGAGCTCACCCTGATGTTCTTCTGTCTCAGTCCCCAGTGCAGCGCCCCAGCTCTCCCTGTCCAGCCCCAACCCCTTGGACATCAGGGTGGCGTGGCTGCCCCTGCCTCCCAGCCTGAGCAATGGGCAGGTGGTGAAGTACAAGATAGAGTACGGTTTGGGAAAGGAAGGTAAGTGGAGGCAGGGTGAGGGCTCCCCTCAGCTGGGCATTGTTGATAGGAAGGGCTGACCAGAGTAGCTGCGGACCCAAGCAGAGGTCAGGGGATGTCTAAGGCAATGAGGCAGAGCTGTGGAGTAGAGAAATAGGAACCTGGACAAGAGGAGTATGGTCTGGGTGTAGGGAAGCCAAAGAGGCAAAGCTCCTGACGGAGGGAGGTCTGGGTTCTAGCCCCACCTCCTCCACAGCTATAGTGGATAATGCTGTTAAGTCCCTGCCTCAGTTTCCTCATCTGTGAAATGAGGCGAGTAGCCTAGGTAATCCCTGGAGTCCCTTCCAATTCAAAAAGCAGATAAGGGATGGGCAGTGGAGGGCATGCTTGCAGGTTTGAGGAAACAGCATTGGGGAGGATGTGTTAGGGCAGATGTAGGTGATTTAGGGGAGAGGATATGAAAGGGATAAAGAGTTAGGGGAAGACAAGTGGCTGGGGGCTAGGGTGAGAGTGAAGAAGGAGGGAAGGGTGAGGAAGGGGGCTTAGGGTGGTCACCAGGGTTCCAGAAGGTGGTGCCTGATGGCCTTCAGAGACAACCCCTTGCGCCTGCGCTCTAGTGTGTGCCTAAGGGGATGATGACAGCTTAAGGGGAAGTGTGGAGTCCTCGCCATGGTTCTTTCCACTCTGAGCTGAAGCCGATGGCCTGCGTCAGCCCAGGCCAGAGGCACAGGAGTCAGCTCTGGAGCTGTGTAGTCCGTCCAGGCACCAGGGCTTCAGTGCTCAGAGGGCCTCAGGCTCTCATGGGCACTGAGGAACTGGGATCTGGGGTAGAGTAGCTGGTATGGGGACGTTGAGGAGTCATGGTCCTAAGGTAGCCACCCTGCAGCCATATTTTCTGTCCCGGCAGATCAGGTTTTCTCCACCGAGGTGCCTGGAAATGAGACACAGTTTACACTGAGTGCACTTCAGCCCAACAAGGTGTATCGAGTCCGGATTTCGGCTGGCACCGGGGCTGGCTATGGGACCCCTTCCCAGTGGATGCAGCACCGGACGCCCAGTATGCACAACCAGAGCCACGGTATGGGGTTTGAGGGGAGAGGAAAGATAGTGTGTGTGACCATGTGGGTGTACATGTGCCTTTGGAACAGAGGCCCAACCACCCTCTCCAATCAGAGACCTTCCATGGCTCCCCCTGTTTGACGGGGAAGGGAAGCAAGTGTAGAGGTGAAGGCTGGCCTTTACAGACAAACCTGGCCTCCAGTGTCCCTTCTCTCTGCTGTGTGACCTTGGACAAACCATTCACAGCTCTGAGGCTTCCCTTAATGCCAAAGGTGGCATGAGGATTAATAATGCATTGTAAACACATGTTTAGTACTTAATAAGAACTTGTTCTTTGCTTGCTTCTGCCAACTCGGATTGTCAGTTTTGTCGAGAGGCCCAATAATGGAATGATTAAGGCAGATAGAACCTGGCACCCATACTATCTGTATGACATTGGACAAGTTAATTAACTTCTCAGTTTTCTTATCTGTAAGATGGAGACAATAGTATTTTTGTCATTTTATGGGTTTCTGAGAATATAGTTAAAACACACGTACAAGGTCCTTAGAATGGTGTCTGACACATAGCAAGACCCCACTCTTAGGCTCCACATAGGCTCCTGACACCCATGGCTCCTTTCCAGCCTCAGCAACCCCTGTGACCCTCCCTTGCCTGTCCGTACCCATGCATTCATTCATTCATTCAGAAGAAGAAGAACCAGAGCCCTGTGCTGTGCCATATACTGTCACTCCTACCCCAGGGGTGCTCCTTGCTAACCTCTTTGCAAACACCCAGGAGACATCCCTGCATTCTCAGCACTTGGCATGTAGAAGAATGAGTTCACCTCTAGCCTGAGCCCAGGCCTGGCACTAAGGGTGGTGGCTGAGTGCCAACTCACTGGGAGGAGGTTGGCAAGGCTCTCACTCAGTGCTGGCTTCCTGCTTTTGGCTTCTTCCTGCCTCATCCCCTTCTCCCATCCCTGCCTTCCTTCTCATTCCCCATTCTCTCACTCCTTCTTCCCATCCTGCTCCTCTGCCCCCAGTCCCTTTTGCCCCTGCAGAGTTGAAGGTCCGGGCAAGGATGGAGTCCCTGGTGGTGTCGTGGCAGCCGCCCCCCCACCCCGCCCAGATCTCTGGCTACAAACTCTACTGGCGGGAGGTGGGGGCCGAGGAGGAGGCTGGTGGTGAGAGTCCCCCAGGGGGCCGCGGAGACCAGGCCTGGGATGTGGGGCCTGTCCGGCTCAAGAAGAAAGTGAAGCAGTATGAGCTGACCCAGCTAGGTGAGGAGGGCTGCAGGAGGGAGTGAGACAGATTTAGCCTTGGGTGGGACCTGGGCAGCTGGGCATGAGAGCTGGGAATGGGACGCTCTCTAGGATGAAAAGGTGGCCTCAGAGGCCCCTCTAGCCAGTGACCCCCGTGACCTTCCCCAGCCCCTGGCCGGCTGTACGAGGTGAAGCTTGTGGCATTCAACAAACACGAGGACGGCTATGCGGCAGTGTGGAAGGGCAAAACAGAAAAGGCTCCCACGCCAGGTGAGGAGGCTCAGGAAGCAGCGGGAGGAGGGCTCCGTCGAGGGGTCTGTGTGCTACTGCCTTCCCCTTTCCTCTGGGCCAGTCCTATGGTCAGCCATCCAGTAGCCTCGGCCTCCCCCAGTCCCATTCTCCAAGGCTCAAAGGGCCTCTTCTAGCCCCAGACAGCCTCTGTTGTAGAGAGAAGTTTCAGTTAGTGCAGTGCCTTACAGGCGTGCCACTGGATTTTCATCATCCATGGCAGTGGTAATTTGGAAGGTTTGAACAGAGAGGAATCCCATGGTTGATCAGTAACTCCTGACCCTGTTTGACCTTTAAACATTTTTTAAAAACACATCCACCTACATTACTGTCTATCAGATTATCCCTCCACTCTATGCTGGGAGAGTGTCCCTCTGTGGCCCATCGGGAAACTAAGCCTCAGAGAAATAAAGGGATTTGCCCAAGGTGGCACAGAGCCTAGACTAGAACCAAGTCTCCTGACTGCCTGACAAAAGTCTGTCCACTGTAGTATGCTGCCCCGTGGCTCTGCATGGGCTACCCCATTTGCCCATCATGACACCCCCTGAGCACTCAACCAGGAACCAAGAAACCTAGCTTCTAATTCCAATTTGTTCACTCAGCAAATATTTTACTGTCTACTAACCTGTTCTGGAAATTTAGTGATGAACAGTGCAGATAAGGTACCTGCTGTCATGGAGTTTATTTTATTCTGTATTGATGTAATAAACACAACCATCTTATAATATATAATACTTACTATATGTCTCAGTTCAGGCTGCCATTAAAAATACCCTAGACTGGGTGGTTGAAACAAGCATTTATTTCTCAGAGTCTTGGAGGAAGTCCAAGATCAAGGCATCAGCAGAGTCAGTGAATGGTGAGAGCCCACTTTCTGGTTCATAGACCATAGCCATCTTTTCACTGTGTCCTCACGTGGCAGGAGGGGCTGGAGAGCCTTCCGGGGGCTCTTCCATAAGGGCACAGTTATGGGCTGAACGTTTGCACGCCCTCCTTCCCCCCAATTCATACATTGAAACTCTACTCTCCAATATGGTGTATTAGGAGATAAGTAGGGTTAAATAATTATGATCAGGAGGGGGGGGCTTAGGAATAGATAGGTACCCTTATAAAAATCACAAGAGAACTCGCTTCCTCTCTCTGCTCTCCTCCGTAAGGTCATACAACGAGAAATTGGCAGTCTGTAACCCACACATGGGCTCTTTACCAGAACTTGAGCATGCTGGCATCCTGGTCTCAGACTCTGGCTTCCAGAACTGTGAGAGATAAATTTCTATTGTTTGTAAACTACCCAGTCTGTGGTACTTTGCCCGGAGGGACAAAGATAGGCACGAGTCCTATTCATGAGGGCTCCATCACAGGTTCCAGTCTCAACAGATGAACACAAACATTGAGTCCATAACAACGTGCCACACACTTTTCTATATCCTTAACAAGTATTGGCTAATTTAATGCTCATCACAACAGTATGAAGGAGGTACTGTTAATCGGCCCCACTGACAGAATAGGGAATGGAGGCATAGAGAGGTTAAGTAGCTTTTCCCAAGTCACACAGCAAGTCTGTGACAGAGCTGGAATTGGAACCAGGGCAAACCTGGCTCCAAAACTAGTGCTTTTAATCACCATAATTTGCTGCTTCTCTCTAGTACAGTTTGCTGTACATATGACCTTGGCAAAAATCTCTTTAATTCTTGGGAGCCTCAGTCTCCTCATCTGTGAAGTGGGAATGTTGCTACTCAACCCACAGGATCAGAAGACAGAGGGTGAAAAAAAGTGCCTTGGAACTGTGAACCACCACCCATATTTTGGGATGAGTGTCCTTCCTCCTTTTCACACGCTCTGTTTTCACCTTCCAGACTTGCCCATCCAGAGGGGACCACCCTTGCCCCCTGCCCACGTCCATGCTGAATCAAACAGCTCCACGTCCATTTGGCTTCGGTGGAAAAAGCCAGACTTCACCACAGTCAAGATTGTCAACTACACTGTGCGTTTCAGCCCCTGGGGGCTCAGGAATGCCTCTTTGGTCACCTATTACACCAGGTGGGGAAGCCAGGGGGCTGGGGCTGGGGGCAGCAGATGTTGATGCGGGGAGGGACCTCGGGGATTCAGGAACCTTTCATGGTTCGCATGTTACCCTGGGGCACACAGAGTCTGATGCCCTGATGGTGCCAGGTGGAAAGGGGAGTCCATCCCATCCCATCCCCTCACAACAGAGCCTCACACTCAACCTTAGGGAACGTGATGCACAATGGACCATTTCTTCAATCTCAGAGGCCTCCTGACATGACAGGGAAGAGACAGCCCAGATGCTCTCCTGAAAGAGCCCCCCAGTCAGATGGAGAGGCACAGCCTCTGTCCTGAGGACCGCTGGTTAGGCAGAAGAAAAATCACATAAAAGTATAATCAAAAACACAATAGAGCAAATAAAACAGAATAAAATAGAGAAACATGGTAGATATGTACAACTGCAGCCAAAGTACATTAAGTCAAGGAAAAGATGCATCAGAGATGGATCCTTGGTGGACGATGACTTGGATTAATCCGGGAAGGTTTCCTGGAGCAGAGGGCCTAGGCTGCAGATTGGACAGACTGCCCTGGGAGCAGCATGCATCCAGACTTCTCTGTAGGACTCTTGGGTGGTGTCAGTGGCCTCCAGGCCAGTGAGTAGATTCCCCACCCAGGGTAGGGGCTGGGGCTGGGCTGGGGTGGGCGAGTGGATTTGGACGGGCCTGCCCCGCTAGGAGGGTGTGCTAGTCACGTTTCTTACCTCCACAGCTCTGGAGAAGACATCCTCATTGGTGGGCTGAAGCCATTCACCAAATACGAGTTTGCGGTACAGTCTCACGGTGTGGACATGGACGGGCCCTTCGGTTCCGTGGTGGAACGCTCCACCCTGCCTGACCGTGAGTGGCCCTCTTGCCACCAACCCCCATCTTTTACCCCACTCCTTCTTACCCCAGTGGCCTTTTTTTCTAATTTGTCCTTCGGAACCCTATATCTCTCTATCCTTGGCTTTGCGTTTATATAGGCCAGTCCTGTGCTGGTCTTAACCATTTCCTCATACACATGAGATTTAGAGGAGTGGCTTCTTTTATAAGACTGCCAAGACCTCACTGAGCTGGTGAAAAGGCACCAGGTCAGGGAGGCAGGGGTCCTGGATTCTGCATTTGGGTCTCCATCCTGTCCTTGGCACACAGGGAGGCTAGGGCAGGTGCCTTCCTCCTTGGACCCCGTGTCCCCACCTGTAAAAAGAAGGAATGGAGCCATTCGTGGTGCAAGTCTGTGACTCTGGAACCTCTGGAAATGGCATTCCAAGACAAATGGACTTTTGTTCTCATAACAGAGGCTCTTTGGTTCCGCCAGCCCTCAAACTGTCCACCTTCCCATTGACAGAAGACCTTGGTCTCAGGATCTGAAATAAGATGATGTTTGGGGGGGTGGGGTGTGAAAGCCCTGCACTCTGATGAATTTGCTCTTTAAAATACTGCTTACAATTTGTCTCTCACCCACTTCTCACTTCAGTTATTAGGGTCTTAAATTGCATAGGGAGTTTAGGGGCTCCTGATGTTTCGTCAGAGGAGACTTTATGACCCTGGCTCCCCAGCACAACTGGCTGTGCTACAGATGGGGGATGTTTTCTCCTTTTGTAGTTGGGGGGACTAGAAATGAGATAGCTGAGAAGCAAGGAGGGTTCCGGCAGCCTGTGATGCTGTGGCTGTCTTATGCCTTAGAGCCCTGGGTCCCCATCCCACCCTCCACTGGGCCTTGAAAACCTGAAACCCCAAATCTCTCCCTTTCCAAATCCCTAGTCATCTGGGTCCATACTTCGTCTCACCCTTCCTCATTCACCCCTACCCCCAGGATCAGCTTCCTCTCTAAAAACAAAATACCAACAAAACAACAAAGGTTGTACTTCTCGTACTGGGATTGCCATGACCCTGAGGACCTGTGTCCAGGGCAGACATAGACAAAGGCTTCACAAGGCATCAACTAATTTTACTTGGATATTTGGAGGTAGCCAGGTGAGTTAGGAACTTTAAATGATAGTTATAAACACGGTTTTTATGTTAAACTTTACCATGGAATAGAGGAGAAACTTAGTATGAGAGTTTGAAATGAAATGTAAGCCTTCCAGAAAATTCTGAACTCTGCCCCCAGGTCTCTGGAATCCCAGTCTCTTCCACCTTTGGAAGTATTTGGGTGTGGATGTTTAAGATCTGCTCCAAGGAGTGAAGAAGAGTTTCTGGGAGGGGGGAATGGTAGTGTTTTCCAGAAACTCCCCAGTTAGAGATCAGATCTCATTTTGCTTTGTGGTTTGTGGTTTGTTCCAGTGAAGGAGGAGGAAGGGAGGCCACGTCCTCATGCCCTGTCTCCCAGCTGCCCCCGCTGGAGCTGAGGCTCTCAGTGACCATACTTTTCCCCATCTCCTCCCCTGCACCCCAGGGCCCTCGACACCCCCATCTGACCTGCGCCTGAGCCCCCTGACACCGTCCACCGTTCGGCTGCACTGGTGCCCCCCTACAGAGCCCAATGGAGAGATCGTGGAGTATCTGATCCTATACAGCAACAATCACAGCCAGCCTGAGCACCAGTGGACCCTGCTCACCACAGAGGGTGAGAGGTCCCACACCAGGGCATCTGAGCAAGAGGTTCCCCACCCTCTCTCCTTTTCCACCCTCTCCAGTGGCTGGGTTAGCAGTGAGAGTGTGGCTGAGGGTTGTTCCTGGGGATCCTAGGAGGAGCAGGCAGGAGCTAGTGCCTGAGTGGGAGAGCAGACCTTCTCAGTCCTGCTTTCCAGGCTATCCCAGCACCCCACACCCACCCAGCCCCCTAGCCCTGCTTTCCTTGCTTCCCTCTGCCCCCAGGAAACATCTTCAGTGCTGAGGTACACGGCCTTGAGAGCGACACCAGGTACTTCTTCAAGATGGGGGCACGCACAGAGGTGGGGCCTGGGCCCTTCTCTGGCCTGCAGGATGTGATCACTCTCCAGGAGAAGCTCTCAGGTATGAGGGCAGGAAGGGAGGAGTGCGTCCATCCTGGGGGCAGCCTGAGGTCTTCTGAGGCCCTTGGAGTTGACCTTTAACGCTAAAGTCATCTCTTCCAGGGCCCTACCCCTGGGCACAGATCCCCTTTCATCGTTTTGGACAGCTGGTTTCATGGTTTTGTGTGGAGAGGACAAATTTGAATGGGAAATGGGTGTAGTTCAGTGGTGATTCAGTCTAAGAGGCCAGATTTATGGGAGACCAACTTGGTTCTCTGGGAGATGGCTTTGATGGGAGTATTGGCTTGGAGAGGTGATGAGCTTTATGGGGTGGAAAGGGGTAGCAGGACTGGCTATATAATTTGCAGGGCCAAGTGTGAAATGAAAATGTGGGGCCCTGGGCACCCCGGGTGGCTCAGCGGCTTAGCGCCACCTTCAATCCAGGGCATGATCCTGAGGACCAGGGATCGAGTCCCACATCAGGCTCCCTGCATGGAGCCTGGTTCTCCCTCTGCCTGTGTCTCTGCCTCTCCCCCCCCCCCCGTCTCTCATGAATAAATAAATAAATAAAAATTTAAAAAAAATGTGGGGCTCTTATTAAAAAATTAGAATTTCAGCCTGGGTGGCTCAGTCGGTTAAACATCTACCTTCAGCCCAGGTCATGATCCTGGGGTCCTGGGATCCAGCTCTGCATTGGGCTATTGGCTCAGTGGGAAGTGTGCTTCTCCCTTTCCCTCTGCTTGTGCTCTCTCTATCAAATAAATAAATAAAATCTTTAAGGGCAGCCCGGGTGGCTCAGCGGTTTAGCGCCACCTTCAGTCCAGGGCGTGATCCTGGAGACCTGGGATCGAGTCCCACATAGGGCTCCCTGCATAGACCCTGCTTCTCCTTCTGCCTGTCTCTGCCTCTCTCTCTGTGTCTCTCATGAATGAATGAATGTATAAATAAATAAATACATAAAATATTTTTTAAAATTAGAATTTCAAGATGGTGATAGCAGAGTCTTAAACCAAGCATGGTGTCCTTCTAACTGTGGCTCCCATGTGACAGCTCTTGTTGCACACCCATGAAACCGGTCCTAGTGTGTTTCGCTGAAAGGGCAGGTTGATAGAGAGGGATCACAACTTCAGATGTCCAGTGGGAAGGACAGTCAGAGAGAGAGGTAGGAGTGTCCAGTCCTCCTTGCATCAGAAGATTTTGAGTGTCCAGAGGGTGACACTCAGACCAGTGGTCTCCTGAGGAAGCCACAGAAATCCTGACCTATGAACCCTGGAACTTCTCTTGGCCTTGACCTGTTCTGTTCCCTCTCTCTGCCCCACCAGACTCCTTGGACGTGCACTCGGTCACAGGCATCATTGTGGGTGTCTGCTTGGGCCTCCTCTGCCTCCTGGCCTGTATGTGTGCCGGCCTGCGCCGCAGCCCCCACAGGTGGGTGAAGGAGCCAGTCTGACTGCAGACAGGAGAGATTTCCAGAAGCGCTGCAGATGAGAGGGCAGGGAAAGTGGCCGTGACTTGCCCGAGGCACTCCCAGAAGCTCCACTAAAATTAAGACTCTGGGAAGGAGGGATTGGAGGTGATGTCCTCATAAGAATGGGAAGTGGGCCTGGGGGAGCCCCCCAGCCTATCTCCTCAGCAAGGGCGAGCCTGGGCAGAGGTGCCTTGTCTCATTGCCTCTGTAGCTGCCAGCATCTTGGAAGGAGGGACCCCAAATCTCAAGATACCTGGAGCCTGGGGAGGAACGGTGCCATTTGCAAGGTCACAGCTGTTTTGAATGTAGTTTCTTAATCATCACCCAGACAGGGAAACCAGACTCCCGCCCAAGGACACAGGCAGGACTAGACCCCAGGCCTGCCTCCACCCCTCACTTTTGGATCGCTGTGCCTGACTCTGTCTTTCCTTCCAGGGAAGCCCTCCCAGGCCTCTCCTCCACGGCCAACACTGGGAACCCCGCCCTGTACTCTCGAGCCCGCCTTGGCCCCCCGAGTCCCCCAGCTGCCCATGAGCTGGAGTCCCTTGTGCACCCCCGCCCCCAGGACTGGTCTCCACCGCCCTCAGACATCGAGGACAGGGCTGAAGTGCACAGCCTTATGGGTGGCGGTGCTTCGGACTGCCGGGGTCACTCCAAGAGGAAGGTAAGCCTGGAGCCTGGGTAGGTCAGAGCCCCACAGTACAGCTCATTCCCAAACGGGGCACCAGGGGGCGCAAGAGCACAATGCCCGACCCCTCCACTGTCCCCGCCACCCCCCTCACCTGCCCCTCCTCTTCCCTGGGCCAGCTGCAGAAGAAAAGGCACTCCCTCCTTCCTCTGAAAAGGTTGGCAGGACTGGGAAGCAGATGGGCCTTCATCCCTGGCCAAATAGGTCAGCCTGGTTCTCACGGAAGGAGGGAAGGGCCCCTCCGTGGCCACAGCCCCCAGATCCCTCATCATCCTGGGAGCTGGAGCAACCTCTAAGACCCAGCCTTGCCCAATAGGAAGACAAGAGGCTGGGCAGCTTGGCTGTGACCAAGAGAGCCCAGGACCTGGATGAGGTGGGCCCACGTAGGGCAGGTCCCTTCATGCCAGCAGGGGTGGTTCATCCTGCGCTTTTCTGCGAGCTTGCTCAAACCCTTGGGTGCTGCACCCCTCTTTGTCTGCCTGTGTGGCGAAGGAGACCCTGCCCTGCTCGGACACCTCTAGGTGTTCCCAGAGCCGGTGGTATTGGGCTTTTCTGCAGAATTTCTCCATCCTCACATTCACCTCCAGACTCTTGGTTCCTCCCCACAGCCTTAGTTGGGGGGTGGCCAGGAGGCCAAGAGCCTCCATCTACTTCCCTCCCTTATGCTTCCTTCTCCCAGCCAAGCGCCTGATGCTCTCATATCTTTCCCCCCTCGCAGATCTCCTGGGCTCAGCCAGGTGGGCCAAGCTGGGCAGGTTCCTGGGCGGGCTGTGAGCTGCCCCAAGCAGGCACCATGCCATCTCTGACCCGGGCGCTGCTGCCCCCTGCTGGAACGGGGCAGACGCTGTTGCTGCAGGCTCTGGTGTATGACGCCATAAAGGTCAGTGTCCTGGGAGGCAGGGGCAGGAACGGAGAGGAGGGGCTCTGGGCTTGTGAAGAGCAAGTAGGGAGTTTTCTGGTGACCCCTGATGGTAACTTCCATGGGGATGGAAGTCCAGCTAGGAGGCCCCCTGGAACCTCTAAAGGCGTGTGGGTGGAGGGCAGAGAGTTTGCAGGAATCTGTCTCACCAGTTGCTCCTCTCCTGATGCCTAAGTGGGCTCCAGCAGAATTACTATGGATCCGAGGATGGGCCTGGCCTGAGTGCAACCTGCCCTTCCCCCTATACACTGAGGCTCTGACTAAATCTGGTATTTCTGGAACTCTGGGCAAGGGCAAATGGGTAGTATTCTATTTTCCCCTGCCTTCACATGGGCCTGGTCATCATCTCTTGTAGGATAGTCATTATGCTTTAGGGCTTGGGGGAGTGGGTCAGTCCTTCTCTGCCCCAAGTATATTAGTCATTTTTTAAAAAAGATTTTATTTGTTTATTCATGAGAGGCACAGAGAGAGGGGCAGAGGGAGAAGCCGGCACCATGCAGGGAGCCCGATGTGGGACTCGATCCTGGGACTCCAGGATCACGCCCCGGGTCAGAGGCAGACGCTCAACTGCTGAGCCACCCAGGCATCCCTGTTAGTCGTTTTTTTAAGGTTTATTTATTGGGGTACCTCAGTGGCTTAGTCAGTTGAGTGTCTGCCTTCAGCTCAGGTCATTATCCCGAGGTCCTGGCATCAAGCCAGCAGGGAGCCTACTTTTCCCTCTCCCTCTGCCACTCGCTTGTGCTTTCTCTTTTGCTCTCGCGCTCTGTCTCAAATGAATAAAATCTTTAAAAACATTTTTTATAAAGATTTATGTATTTATTTTAGAGAGAGAGCAAGAGGGATCCCGGGTGGCGCAGCGGTTTAGCGCCTGCCTTTGGCCCAGGGCGCGATCCTGGAGACCCAGGATCGAATCCCACGTCGGGCTCCCGGTGCATGGAGCCTGCTTCTCCCTCTGCCTATGTCTCTGCTCTCTCTCCTCTCTCTTCTCTCTCTCTGTGTGACTATCATAAAAAACTTTTTAAAAAAGAGAGAGAGAGTGAGGGGGGAGGGGCAGAGGGAGTGAATCTTAAAGCGGCTTCTCCGCTGAGCACAGAGCTGGAATCTGGATGCCAGTTCCAATCCCAGGAGAATCATGACCTGATCCCAGACCAAGAGTTGGACGCTTAGTCAACTGAGCCATCCAGGCATCCCTGTTGGTCATTCTTCTGACTGTCACTCTCAGTGATGGTCACCTTGTCTTTCTGTTCTCTGCTGTGACCAGGGCAATGGCAGGAAGAAGCCGCCCCCAGCCTGCAGGAATCAGGTGGAGGCTGAAGTCATTGTCCACTCTGACTTTAGTGCATCCAAAGGGAACCCGGACCTCCACCTCCACGACCTGGAACCTGAGGATCCCCTGCCTTCGGAAGCTCCTGACCTCACTTCGGGAGTCGTGGATCTCGGGCAAGGGGTAGACTGGCTGGACAGGGAGGTGGGCGGATGTGAGCAGGCAACCACTGGGCCAGACAGACTTACCTGCCTGCCAGAGGCAGCCAACGTGTCTTATCCGTACCGGGACCTCCAGCCCAGTGAGGCTCTGGAGGAGGCCCCTGGGAACAGCTGCCAGCCAAAGGCCCCCTGCTCTCTAGGAACCAGCCCGGGCCTGCCCAGAGCCCCAGTCCCCTCCTCTGCCTAGCTCCCCTAGGCGTGCAGTTTGGGCAGCCCAGTATGGATCATGGGACATGGCACTTGTGGCCAACCAAGTATGTACACATGTGTACCTGCAGTTTCTGAACACTATCAAGCCATCTGGAGCTCCTGGGGTGCTGTGGCCGTGGGGAGAGGAAGAAGTGAAGTATTCACTCCCCCCACAGTCTGTGACACATGTTATATGTGAGGGACCTGTGAGGCACAGCTATACATGATGTACACATGTATGTGTGCTAGCTGGAGAGCCGGGAAACTCTGGCTAGGTAGTGGTCACAATGGCCTGATTGATCCTCCAGGTCAGGACGGTGCCCCAGAATGGTCAGTCCCCAGCCCTGCGGGCCCCCTTCCTCCATCACCCAGCCATTTATTACACACTCTGAGAGTGTCTGCGATGCCCTGTCTGACAAAGACAGCCCCGGCCCATGTTCCAGTCCGGCTGGGCGAGAGTGCAGTAGGCTCTGAATGCCTAGAGTCTTAGTTGCATCACTACCCATCGCCCGGGGCCCTGTTGCCCAAACTGAGAGGGTGAGTCGGGCTCCCCTCAGAGCAACTCTGCATTATGTCATTTTGTCATTTGGGAAGTGCCTGATTTTGGAAATCTGCTTGCTCTGGCTCTCCTCTCCTCCCTTCCCCTTCACTACCCTTGTGCTCTGTCTCTGGGTCAGGGTCAGCCGAGCTCCCAGTTCTCCTGCTTTTCCTCCCTGGTACTCTTTCCTTTCCTCTTGGCTCTTTCTCTGTCTCCTATCTCTGTTGTCTCCCACACCTCTGCCAGACCATGTGTCTTTGGTTCACCTGCCTGGGTTCAATCTCTGCATCCTTCCCTAACAACATGACTACCTCATGTCTGCTTTGAGGCCATAGCGTGACTTCTGTGTCCGCCATTCACTTTACCGGCCATCCTCCTGCCCCTCTCGGCTCTGTGCTGCCATATGCCCCCCTCCCCCAGGCACACTACCTGCCCCAGTGTGGGTTCGGAGATCTTCCAGCTCCCCTGGCATTTTTCTCCCTGAGCTTGAGATCAGAGGGCTCTCCTTGGAGTTGATGGATCCAAGTCACACAAGGGGACTTCTGAGACAGGGAAAGAGGAATGTGACCCCCTCCCTTCAAGGCAGGGAAGCAGGGCTGCTGGACGGAGGGGGTTTGGGACCTGCTTCCCCCTGGCTGAAGCCAAATGGAGAAAGAGTGGGGATTAGGGGCACCACAGCCCAGCAGCTTCCCACTCTGTGTACCTGGAACAGGAGCTGATGGATGGGGGTAAGAGGAGTTTCACCCTCTGGGAGCTGGACCGAAGCCTTTGCACAGGACAAGGGTAATTGGCTCATTTCATTTCATTGTTTCTTTTTTTTTCCCCCTTTAAATTCAATCCTAAAGTCATCTTCTGTTGACCTGTCACACAGGGACAAGCTGGACTTCTATTTCCTGTGTAGAGAAGACAAGGTCATTTATTTGATTTTGCACCCCAGGCTCTCCTAGGAGCATAGAATGTGGGAGCTTTTTCTCCCTAAATGTGTCTTTTTAACCAATTGGCACATCAATGGTTAACTTTGGCTTCTGGGCCAAATTAGAAATAACCAGTCTATCCTTTTTCTTTCTTTCTTTCTTTTTTTCTTTTTTTTTTTAAATGGTGACATGTCTCTCAGCAGAGTTGCAGCTCCATCAGACCCTTTCAGCATCTGTGTTTATTACACTCGGGTGTCACTCCCGTCTGACATCCGCACCTACATTTCCTTCCCCTCCCCTGCTTCAGCCAGCCCGTGATAGCGCTACAGATTATTAATGCTGGTTTGTATCTCGTTTAAGATGGAATTGTCACTTGTACTCTTTCTGTGGCATCCAGCGTCGCTGTGGCTGACGCCACTGTATGTGTTTTGCCATTGCTCTGAAGGTCAAAAGCCTCATTTTATTTTTGCTGGTTTGATTTCTTTCTTTTTTTTTTTTTTTTTCCGAAAGAGAGAAAACTGCCCTGAATCCAATGGCTGTTTTAACAGTAAGCTCTTAGCATTACACCACATAGTCATTTTTCATGTTCTTGTTTAACAGGCACTGAGGCTCTGGTTTAAATTAAATAGCTGCAAATGAGACAATTTATAACCCATTAGGTTGGGTGGAAAATTGTTTCTCAAAAGCAAATAAGTAATAAATCTGGTATCTGCCTATAACTCACAGTTGATAAGAAAGTGGCCATTACTCACTAGCATTATATATGATTTGGGCTCTGGGTAATTTGGAAGTGTTAGGTTTGTGTCTTTGTAGCAGTATTTTTATTAGAAAAGAGTCTGTTGGCCTTTTACAGGGTATTAATCCCTTTGTCACCTACCATTGATGCCTTACGTTTTTTGAGTCTTATTTAGAAACCTTCCTTTTCTTGATGCATGACAAGTGTAATCAGTACCTGCTCATTTATGTCTGTATTTAGTTTATGCCATATTATTTAATTATTTTTTCCAGCATTTTTTTCTTCCTCCTCACAAATATGATATTTCTTTAGTGTTAAGCCAAGGCATTGATCATGTATCTGTCCCTATAATGAATTAATAAACTATTTTCCAGAAACGTGGAATGACTAGAATTTCCTCAACCTCTCTGCCTTAGAGAACGTATTTCCTGCCAGGATGAGAAGTGCTGGGTTTTGGAGGGTAGAGAGCAGGTGGGCATGGGAAAGAACTGGACCATCTTCTTCCCTCGACAGGCACTTAGGAAAAAGCCAGACTTAGGAAAGATGCTTTCTTTGACAGCACTCTTTTAGGCTGTCTGGGGATCTCTTTCCATCTGGGCACACCTTTTTTTTTTTTACCTTTCTTGGGTGCAAGGGAGGAGTGAATGAGCAACTCCAGAGATTTGGGCTTAAACGATTGTTCTTTTTCCTTTTTTAAAAAGATTTTATCTATATTTGACAGAGCACAAGCAGGGGGAGCGAGAGGGAGAGAGATAATTAGGCCCCCTGCTGAGCAGGGAGCAGGACTCTGGGATCATGACCTGAGCCAAAGGCAGACACTTAACCAACTGAGCCACCCAGGCTCAACTACTCTGCATAAATCTGGTCTTCAGAGTTCCTCATGGCTGCATATTCACACATATGGGCACTGTGCCTACAAGCTTAGGGACCCATGCATGCACGCCCACCTCCCCAAACACCCTGTATCCATTAACTCAAACATGGGCACACAGCCACACACAAAAGTCCACACCCACACCCCACATGCATCTCAGGATGAAGGTTGGCAGATGCTCCGCTAAAATCTTTACAGAGCCTGGTTGGTGCATGCTTTTCTACGGAAGGAACCAAGAGCCAGAGGCTGCCCCTGCCCGGGACCACCCCTAAAGCGGCTGATGGGCCAGACTCGTGTTAATTGACAGATCATAGGGAGAGATACTGCACATTTTGCATGCAGCAGAATAGCCATTATTTGCATATCACTCTCAGACCAAGGGTTGTGTTAAAGAAGAATTAAACACTTGTCAAAATGAATTTAAAATGACAGCAACTCAGGACACCAATTTGACCTCTCTGAGTCTAGGACAAGCCACGAAGGGATTGTTGAGAATTCAAGCCCTGCAGGAGGGAGTTCCAGGACTCTGGGCCCAGGCAGGGCTACCCCCCCCCCCCCCCCCCCCCCCGTTCCCTCCCTTTCCTCTGGCCAGTGGAGGCCCCGTAATGCCTGCCTGCCCTTCCTCACAATAAAATCCGTTTGGGGTTTCGGTGTGCATCCTGACCCTGAATTTCTCCACTGCCTCCCATAGCTTACTCATATGCCTCAAATCTTGCCTCTCAGACTCATCTTCTAGTTGCTACTGTAAGTAAGGCGTCCCTAGGCTATGCAAACCCCATCAATAGTAAACTTCTCTGATCTGGAGACCTGCACTTTTTTACTCATCTGCACCAAAGTTAGGTTTATGTATGGTTAACACCCCTGATTCCAAGATTCTAGAGTTGGTGTCATCCCAGTCCAATGCCAGAGGAAGAAAATAGCTGAATGAGGAAAAGACTACCGTCTTTAAATGTCCTGCTCCGAGAACTTAGCAGATGGACTAGCTCACCATGCTGGACTCAACGGAAGATCATTTAAATAACGGGTGGCCAAGGCTCAAGATCTCTGAGAGCTAAGCTAGCCTGGGCACGGATCCCCTAAGAAGTAATACATGCCTATCTTCCCTAAAATTCATGTTCGCCTTGCCTCGTGTGTTCTCTGACATGGAACGTTGACAGCCTTCTTTGTGACAGAAATGTTACCGAGAATTTTGACTTTCAGTTTGCTTTCCCAGATACCAGGTCATTTGTTAGGACCCGTGTCCTTTTAAATATCCCTAGCGGTGAGCAGGAGAGACAGGATTATGTTGATCTTCCGGATGAGCTCGGAGTGATTGCCTGGGTTAGCTGGGCAGGACTGGGGTGGGAACCCAGATTCCTTTAGCGTGCTCATTGTCCTGCGGGGTTTGCTAGCTCAAGGCCCCCCGAACCCGGGGTGGGGTGGGGGAAGCTGCCCTTCTACGTCCGGTCCATCCAAGCGCCAGAACTCTGCAGTCTAGAGAGGCCAGCCTTGCAGCTAAACGTCCTAGCCTTTGGGTGGCGGGATCAGAAACCGGGGAAACGCGAACCTTTGACAAGTTCGTGAAGCTTTTAGGGAATGATCTCGAAGATGCACACTCGGACGCGGTGGAGGAGGGTGCAGCGGAGAGAGGCGGTCAGGGCAAGTCCCACGGCTTCGCGAGTCTCTCTGCAGTCCGCGGGTCTCGCCTTCCGCAGCCCCCGCGTCCCAGGCCGGCCGCGGGCGGGGGGTGCCGGGGGTGCGGGGGGCGCCGGGGGCGCCGGGGGGTGCCGGGGGCGCCGGGGGGGCGCCGGGGGGCTGCCGGGCAGCAGCCCGGGACGGCGCCGGCCGCTCCAGCCACAGTTCAAAGCGCAGGGGGCGCGTCCGCCGCGCAGCCGGGAATGTCCGGCCGCGTAAAGCGCTCGCCGGCTCTTTTGTTCCCCAGACCGGGCCTCCGGGGAGAGGGGCTGGGGGAGGGGGCCGGGAGGGGCGGGGAGGGGGCGGCGGGCGCGGGCGCGGGCGCGGGCGCGGGCGGAGGGCGGGGCGGGGCGGCGCGGGCGGTGCGAGTGCGAGTGCGGAGCGCGCTCCCCGGCGAGGCTGACAGATCGCCCGCGAGGGTGCAAGATGGCGCGAGCGGCGCTCCCCCCGCGCCCCCGGCGCTCCTAGGCCGGCATGTGGCCCCAGCCCGCCGCCGCCCGGGCTCGGCCCCGGCCGGAGCCCCGGCCCCGGCCCCGCCGCCGCCCCCGCGGGACGCTGTGAGCCTCCCGAGGCCCCGGAGCCGCGCTCGCCGAGCCCCGCCGAGCGGACCGAGAGCCCCATGGCCGCTCCGCGCGCCGCGCCGCGCCGGCCCCGGCTCCTGCTGCCGCTGCTGCTGCTGCTGCCGCCGCTGCTGCCCGCGCCGAGCGACGGTGAGCGGGCGCCCCGGGCCGGGCGAGGGCGAGGGCGAGGGCGAGGGCGAGGGCGAGGGCGAGGGCGAGGGCGAGGGCGAGGAGGGACCGGGTCCCGCGGGCGGAGCGGGCGGAGCGGGCGGGGCGGGGCCGCGGGGGCGGGCGGAGGGCGCGGCGGCGAGGAGCGCAGGACGCGAGCCGGGCCGGGGGCGGCGCGGGCGGGCGCGGAGGGGGCGCGGGGGCAGCCGCGGACCGCGAGCCGGGACCCGCCCCCGGAGTGCGCGGCCGACCCCGAGGGACCGCGCGGCCGGGGGCGCGGGGGCAGCGGCGGGGAGGGCGCTGCCCGGCGCCGCGGCACCCGCCCTGCGCGGGACCCGCCTCGCGGAGGGGGCGCGGGCCGGAGCGTCCCCTCCCGCCCCAGAGGCTCGGCGGCCCCGCGTCCGCCTGCGCGCTCCGCTCTCCGCGCTCCGCTCGGCCCCGGGGCGGCAGCACCTCGCGCCCGCATCCGGGAGAAACTTTATCCCCCGACGGCGCTGCGGGGCCGGGGCTGGGGGCCGAGGCTGCCGCGACGCAGGGGGCGGGCGGGAGGGGCTCAAAAGGTTGTGACCCTCGAATGTCTTAAAACACTACCTCTCCCCGGGACCGGGGGACTCGCCCGGCCCCCGCCCCCGCCCCCTTCCTCCCCACCCACTTTCCGTCTCCCCCAACCAGGGAGGGCGCCGGCCTGCTGGGGCGGGGCCGGCTCCGGGATCGCTAGTGCCCTGCCAAAGTGCCGAGGGGTCTGTGGCTGCCCTTTCAGACCAGGTGGGTTCATGCCTCCCGGAGTGAGGTTGTAACTGGTCTGGTAAGTTAGTTGCTCGTTGCAGAAGCTGGGCCCTTGGCACCACGCCTGGGATCGGGGCGCGCGTCCTTTCGGCCGGGCTTCCGCCGACTCCGGGATCACCTTCTTCCCTTTCTCTTCGCTCCCCTGCTGTTCTTGCGGCTCAGTTTTCTTCTACGGGAGCGGTGGGGTCGCTGGGAAGCAAAGATTCTAGAAACCTGCCCCTTCCTGAATTTGGGGGAATCTGAGTTGACGATTGGGACCCTTCAGTTCTCCTTATGACAAAGGCAAAAACAACCAGAACAAACCAAAATCCAGAGCCTCTTAGCAGGGAGGCAGTGGGGCTGGGCCGTAGCCTAGCCGGTACCTGCTCCTGGGCCCACCCGTCCCGCTCCCTGCCAGGCTTCAGACCAGGCCTCAGCTGGCTGTGCCAGCATAAAGAAGCAATGGTTTATTACTTTTTCACTTTATCTTTGTTTAGAACTTCTACCTTTTTATAGTGATTTTGAGTCTGTTCATCTTGTTCAACAACTCTACCGCATAAGCCACATTATGTTTCTGACTTAAACAGATGCGGATGGGAAGCTAAGACAGGTTGCACACTTTACTTAAGGTCACGCCCCTGAACGTCTGCAAGGCTCCAGCATTTAGCCAGAGTGGTCACAGAGGTGGCAACAGCCATGTTGGGATCAGTTTTACTTTTTTTTTTTTTTAAGATTTTATTTATTCATGAGAGACTCACAGAGAGAGGCAGAGACACAGGCAGAGGGAGAAGCAGGCTCCCCAAGGGGAGTTGGATGCGATGTGGGAGTTGATCCAGGACCCTGGGATCATGGTCCCACAGGGAGATGCTCAACCACTGAGCTACCCAGGTGTCCCGAATCTTACTTTATTGGATCTTAGATTTATTTTTATTTATTTATTCATGAGAGACACACACAGAGAGAGAGGCAGAGACACAGGCAGAGGGAGAAGCAGGCTCCATGCAGGGAGCCCGACATGGGACATGGGACTCGATCCCGGGTCTCCAGGATCACGCCCTAGGCTGAAGGCGGTGCTTAACTGCTGAGCCACCAGGGCTGCCCCTGGATCTCAGATTTGTAACTATTAATTGTGACACCCTGGACAACTTGCTTAATATTTCTGGGCTCCCTTTCCCTTATCTGTAAAAAAAAAAAAAAAAAAGGAAATGGTACAAATAATATCTCCTTCTGAGATGGTGTGCTGATTGAGAAAAATACTGCATAAGACAGCACTGAGTTCTATAATACATTGAATTCTATATATAATAGAGATTCCTATTAACAGTACAGAAAGATGGGGTGGGTGCACAGATCCAGGGGATCTGAGACACCTGTGCAAGGAGTTCTTGCTGCCTGTTCATTCCACACTAACCTCTCCTTTTCCTCTCATCTCCCCTTCTCAATACAGGTCTTGGCCACTCTGCCGAACTGGCATTTGCTATGGAGCCAAGTGATGATGTTGCAGTCCCTGGGCAGCCTATAATGCTGGGCTGCAGGGTGGAGGGGACCCCTCCAGTGAGAATCACCTGGAGGAAAAATGGGATGGAGCTGCTGGAGAGTACTCACTCCACCTTGCTGGCCAATGGGTCCCTGATGATCCATCACTTCCAGCTGGATCGGGGAGGCAGCCCCTCAGATGAGGGTGACTATGAGTGTGTGGCTCAGAACCGCTTTGGACTGGTGGTCAGCCGGAAGGCTCGCATCCAGGCTGCAAGTAAGTGGACACCCCTTACCTTTTTTTCCCCCCAGACCGGGGGTCCAGGGTCAGCCCAGGGGTTGGGGGCAGGGAAAGCAGTTCCATCTTCTGTAGCTGCAGCCTTCTGGAGGACTAATTTCTCAGCCCGGGTCAGTTGAGAGGTACATAGTAGTCATTTGTGGTGGTGCAAATGTATCATATACTCATTTAATTGATTGGAATGTCATTCAACAAGAATATAGCCAAACACTGTTGGGGGGAGAGGGAGAGGGTGAACTTTATCTAACTCTTAGGTCCGTGTGTCTGAGTTTCCATATGCCTGTATACTGTATCATCCCAGTCCATTGAGTAGGATTCTTGTGTCTCAAGAAAAAACTGTCATACTTTATGGGTGATTTAAGAGAATTTTGAAGGCTAATTAGGCTATATGCAGTTTTAAATTCTGGGCTGACTTTCAAATCTTTTGGGTAGGATAATGATATTCTGAAGCTTGCCAACAATTTGTTTTACAAAAAATGTGGTAGGTTAACTTCAAGGTTATCACAATAATGACATTACTCCCACCCACCTTCATGCTAATGTGCCTTTAAAAAAATTTTTTTTGCCTTTATTGAGGTGTAATTGACAATAAAATTGTAAGATATTTAAAGTGTACATTGTGGTGACTTGATATCTGATGTGTCTTGCACGGGAGAGAAAGGGCCAGGTGAGGTGTGTCAGTTCTCGAATTGTGCTTTGCTTACACTGATGGACCACCAGTTGTGATGAAATGATGATTATGTTCTACAGCCCTGTCCTGCAAAAATTCTGTTGTTCTTTAATTTGTGCATGTTTGTGGGTGTGTAAACCAGAATTATCTATGGATCTTGAAGGTGGCAGGCCGGGGGTGGGGTTGGGGGTAGGGGTGCAGGTGTGGGGTATGTGTCATGGTTAAGAACTGCTGCTCTTGAGAGAGGGTAAAAGTTTTAGCAAGTGCTAAAGTGTTCTCTACCTCACAGCTTCCTACTTCTTCTGGAGGGGGTATTCCTTAAAGAAGCCACACCTGTTTTGTTTTGTTTTTTTTAAAGATGATATTTATTTGACACAGAGAGAAAGACCACAGGCAGGGGAAGCAGCAGAGGGAGAAGGAAAAGCAGGCTCTCCACTGAGTAGGGAGCCCAATGCGGGGCTCAGGCCTCTATCCCAGGACTCTGGGATCATGACCTGAGCCCAAGGCAGACACTCAGCTGACTGAACCACCCAGGTGCCCCAAGAGGCCACACCTTAAAGGTGTTGGTGATAATTCTAGCGAACATTTACCAAGCACTTGCTGTGTGCTGGGTCCCCTGCCTAAGTGTTTTACATGAGTGATCTTGTTCAGTCATCACAATGACCCAAGCAGATAGGCAGTCTTTGCCCCCCTTTGCCAGATGAGAAAACTAAGACCTAGAACTGCATTCTAGGCAGCCTGAATCCTACTCCTCCTGCTTAACTCCTACGGCATTCTCCCGCTTCCCCCACTGATGGGGGACAGTTCTGGCTCTGAGGGCATTTGCACAGTTGCTCGGAATGGCTGGTGAGTGATGAATCGCTCTGAGGCAGGAGCCCTCTCACTGAGTTTAAGATCCCCCTTTGTTCTAAAGAAGGCTGACTCAGGCCCCCATATGGAGCTCTCTGGGAGGCAGCCCTGGACCTTGAGACCGAATCACTTCTGGCTCAGCGACCCCTCAACCCCAGCCTCGGCGGTGTGGGGAAGGCTGGGGCAGCCTCTGAGCAGATGGCCGGGTGTGAGGTAGAGGAGTGTGGCCGTGGACACAGGGTGGGGCCCCCAGGAAGATTTGCCAATGAGAGAAATGAGATTTCTAGGGGAGGGGACCCCCACTCTCTCCCCACCTTACACCAATACTGACCCCTGCGTTGCCAACCTAGAATTCTGGGAGATAAATCCCAGGTGTTTATATATAGCTAATTGTAAATGTGCTTTTCTATAAATGGTAATACCTTCAAGATGTCTGGTTTCCTTAAACTCTTATGGTGTAAGAAACTGAGCTGTGGGCTGTGGCTGGGGGAAGGGCCATTGGGTGAGGTCAGCCTGGTTAATCCTGTGGGGTCCTGGGGACAGCTCCAGGGTTGCCTCTAAGCACTGGCAGTCTGATATGGCCTCCCTGTTCATTGCAAGACTTGTGATCCCATGGGAGAATGCTTGGATACCAAGCAACCTGGTGGCTAGATCTCCTTTTCTCACTTCACAAGCTGATGTCCCTAGAAACCTCCAAAGCTGATTAGCTGCCTGAGTTTTCTCCTTTGGTATTAACTCCTGGCCCATGTGCCTGCAGGCACTGCAGATGTTGTGTGACATGGGAGGGTGCCTTGCTGAAAGGTGTGAGGAGCCCTCTGGAGCCCCCTGCTTCTCCTGCCTGCTCCCTAGGGGCTCACGGGGAGGGGCAGGCTAAGCACCGCTCACAGACACAGGGTCCAGGTGGATCCACCAGTGGGACAGACAGGGGTCCAGGTCTGTGGGGGCAGCCCTGCAGGGCATGTGAGCTCTGGGCCAGAGGCGACAACTAGGAATGCCCCCTCTTCCCTCCCAGTGGTCTCAGATGCTGTCATTGAAAGATGGCCTGACCAGGTTGGGCTGTACTGCAGGCAGATTCCTTGGAGGCTTCGGTTCCAAATATCTCCTTTTTAGGATGGAGCCACTCAGAATCCTAAGAGTATTCATGCTTCTAGCACATCTGCTTTCTCTGCCTTGCAGTTCCATGCGCTTATAGTTTGGAAGCTGCAAATTGAGACACTTGTTAATAATGAGACGAAGGGATCCCTGGGTGGCGCAGAGGTTTGGCGCCTGCCTTTGGCCCAGGGCGCAAGCCTGGAGACCTGGGATCGAATCCCACGTCGGGCTCCCGGTGCATGGAGCCTGCTTCTCCCTCTGCTTCTCTCTCTCTCTCTCTCTCTCTCTGTGTGACTATCATAAATAAATAAAAATTAAAAAAAAATAATGAGACGGACCCTGGACAAGTTAACCTCTCTGTGGCACAGTTTTCTCACCTGTGAAATGTGCATATACCCCTGCGGTTGTGGGATGGATGTAAGAACTCACACACCCCATGAGCTGCCTGCTTCATAGGAGGCACATGGGAGCCAATACTTTATTCTTCATTTAAAGGTGATTTTACTGCCGTTGCCAGCAAGAACAAACTGCCTGACTCTATTCCCAGCCCCCAGCTTTCTCCCTCACCCCAGCTTTCTCCCTCACTGGGATTCAGTTAGGAAGCACTCCAGGGAAATCTACCAGGGAGTGGAATTATTGGAGCCAGAGTGCAACGTGGTTTAACTCCTTCCTCGGAGGGCCTAGGGATTCTCATAAGCTGCGGAGTAGGGGTTGAAGCTGGGTTGGCCTGTAAGACCCTCTGCCATCCCCCTGGAGGGCTCCGGGTTGGGGGAGGGCGTAGGGGAGGGGGTATATGCATTTCGTGACCCAGTGGGAACATGTGCATTGACTCCCCTCTTAAGGTCTGTGCCCCTGGATGACCCCCAAGGAAGGCTAGGCTATAGGGCGTCTGGCTGGCTCAGTAGGTGGGGTATGCGACTCTTGATCTCGGGGTTGTAAGTTCAAGCCACATGTTGGGTATAGAGATTACTCAAAATAAAATCTTTTTTTTTTTTTTTAAGAGAGAGGGAGGGATGGAGGAGGGGCAAAGGGAGAGAGAAAATCTTAAGCAGGCTCCACCCTGGGCTGGGTCTCATGACCCTGAGATCATGACCTGAGCTGAAATCAAGAGTGGGACATTTAACCAACTAAGCCACCCAGGCACCCCAAAAAGAAAATCTTAAAAAAAAGATGGGCTAGATACAAGGAGGGGAGGTGATTGGGGGACCCACCCCTAGTTCCCCTCAGACAGATGCCCTCAGTCCCTGCGCTTCACTTCCTGGTCTCAGGCCCCTTGGAGAATTGGAGCAAAGATCTATGGGATCTTTGAGCAGGACTTCTCAAATTCTGCTGTGCCCATGAAATACCTGGGGAACCTGATAAAATTCATATGGTGATTCAATAGATCTAGGCTAAGGCCTGGGGTTCTGCATGTCTTTTTTTAAAATTTTTTTAATTATTATTTATTTACGATAGAGAGAGAGAGAGAGGCAGAGACACAGGCTCCATGCACCGGGAGCCCGACGTGGGATTCGATCCTGGGTCTCCAGGATGGCACCCTGAGCCAAAGCCAAGTGCCAAACCACTGCGCCACCCAGGGATCCCCGGGTTCTGCATGTCTAACAAGAGCCCAAGTGACTCAATGGTTGAGCATCTGTCTTTGGCTCAGGTTGTGATCCCGGAGTTCTAGGATCAAGTCCCGTGTCGGGTTCCCTGTGAGGAGCCTGCTTCTCCCTCTGCCTGTGTCTCTGCCTCTCTCTCTCTGTCTCTCATGAATAAATAAATAAAATATTTTTAAAAAGATTTTATTTATTATATAGAGAAAGAATGAGCAATGGGGAGGAGCAGTGGGAGAGAGAGAAGCAGGCTACTTGCTGAGTGGGGAGCCCAATGTGGGGCTTGATCCTAGGACCTGAGCTCAAGGCAGACACTGAATGGACTGAGCCACCCAGGCATTCCGAGTTAATAATCCTCTTGAGCCTTTATGCCCTCATCTGAAAAAAATCATAATTTCATCAGCCTATCAGGACTGCTATAGGATTAAATGAGGTGATTGATATGAAATACCTGGCACAGGGCTTGGTTGTGAGGGTGGACTGCAGAAGCAAATATACCCCCACTGGATGGACTTGGGCAAGTCACTTAACCTCTCGAGTCTTTATTTTATAAATATATATAATATATATTCCTTATCTTTTTAAATTCCAATGCAAGTCATTTATACATTTTTTTTAAGTTTACTTATTTATCTTCTAGTAATCCCTGTATCCAGTGTGGGGCTCGAGCTCATGACCTTGAGATCAAGAGTTGCATGCTCCAACTGGCTGAACCAGCCAGGTGCCCCTTTAACCTCTCTTTAAAATGGGAAAACTACTTCTTACCAACAAAC